CAGGTAATACAAGCCTAACAGGCACATATAATTCCTAGCTTCACAAGGATTTCATTATTTGCAAGAACTGAGGCTGCAGACAAAGAACAAAGACTGAGTATCAGATGACAAATAGTGGCTGACGAGTCTGGGAGAAAGAGCCACAGCAACACTCGGCACTATTTGGTAAAGACAGATGAGCAACTTGGATAACACATAAAATTGATGATGCGCCCAACTGATGACGTAAAATTGTTTATGAAAAATCGAACTGATGTGCCCAAGTTTCATACTAACTCAATCAAATCACATAATAATATAACCATTAGCACTAACTGGGGGAAATATAATGTACTTTTTACTGTAGATTTTATTGTTAAAATCATACTCACAGGAAGGAAAAATACCAAACATCTTAAGATACCTTGTAAAGGTTCCAGCCAAGCATAATTACTGTAAAAATCTGCGTATAATCACAAAAATTGCCACAGGTCAATATAGCAGGCTTTGAAAGCAAAGAAAAAAGCTTTTCACAGCTGGTGGCAAAGTAAGGGCCACAGCTACAACTGCATTCAGATGCTTGGGGATTCATTGATCACTCAGAAGCAGTAAGAGAAGGAGGAGAAAGAGCAGACAGGTCACAAACAGCGACAGATCAGAGAGGAAGTCAATACTCAGGCCAGTCGACTAATTGCATTGCCTCCATCCTCTCTGCCCCTACTGAACGTAATCAGGTGAACTCACTGAAGCATGCAAATCTAAATATATGCAACACATACATTCAAAATGCTAAGTGTACGTTATGCACCACAGTATATTTATTTCACAGACCACAGTGAAAATCTCCTACCAAAAAAAGGAATCTTCACTGCTGAGTCACATGATGAACAGAATGAACAGAGATAGTGGACAACCAGCTTCTGAAAGAGTTCAAGATTTGATTTTTTTAGGTATAAAATGGGAGGTTGGCAGCCCAAATATAAAGGCATCTACCATTCGGGTCAGAAACATATTTTAATATTCTAGCTTAAATTGTCTACTTTAAATCAAGCTATTTAAAGCATTCAAACCTCTGTGTAAGCAAAATGTCAGTAGCTACACAAAATGTGTTTTTTTTTTTATTCAAATAGCATATTTAATATAGGAATACATTGCTTCCTGAAAAAACAAGATACATATGTGAAAGGAGGAAAAAAAACAGAGATTCAGCAGGAGAAAAGAATCTTTAAAAAATATATATATATATTTATAAATATATATTTCCATATATTTTTTCCAACATCTGAAAGCTTAAGGAACAGACAAAGCAGTACTACAAAATGCTACAAAAACCTATGATTACAATTACTTGTCTTCAACGTTTCATATACTGTGCAGCACTAAATGCAGTTTAACAGGACTAATTATGCTCTCTTTGTAAACATGCAGTTGGAAAGTGTTTATAAGTACTGACGATATCCACTACATGCTCAGTATAGCTTATTGTGAGATATCTTGACATAATTTATCACAAAGATGATAAATACTATCATATGGCCCAGCTCTAAAGGAACGTCATTGCTTTAAGTGTTAAGTCATGTTTACATAGTTTATTTTTGTGTAACAGGAATGTTGTAGCCAACTGACCAGCATATTTTGAGTACAGGCTAGCCAGTTTTTTAGGTTAGTTTAGATTAGGTCTTTGTGCAAGAAGTTTGTGCAGTTCTAACTAACACTTTGAATACAGGGCCACATGCAGAATAGAAGAATATCATCACAGCACTTAAACATGGCGAGAGTGAGCATAAAATGCCTTTCAATCGCACTGATGTCTGCACAGCCTTCAGTGTGGAAAGTATAATCCATCCTTAAGTATTCACTCTATCATTGGGAGATCTGGAGTTCAATCCCTGGTGATGCAACAGCCATGCATAGCCAGGAGTCTAAGAGAGCAGAACTGGCTGGAGGTGGGTAGTATGGCCGCCCCTCACTCCTTACTCAGCGTAACGCTAGCCGAGGCAGGTGTCTGTCAGTTAACATAACAGAATTGGCAGTTAGTGTTCTCTGACGAGTGTGTTGAGCTGTTAGAGCCAGCAGGGCTCCAGACTAATGCTGTCCTGTAGTCTCAAGGACAATAACAATAGCACACCAAATGATTTAAACCATTTTTGGACACTTCAGGGACGATTAATTTTTATGCATTAACTTCTCTGTAAAATACAGTTATAAAATCATGAATGCGGCAGTGTTCACTCAGTCTAAATACAGCAAAGTCTAATCTGTTATTAATTTGCTTTACCAATATCATTGTTCCATCATGCTAATTTCCTTTAGCCCATCAATGAGAATTCCTATGGAATATTTGCATGAAGATAACAATTGTGTCTATTCACATTTTTTAGGATGCTCTGCCTTAAACATGGACAATTAAGCTTGTAACAGATATTCAAGGAACATTTATCTGTGAATGTTGGACTGTAAGTGAGAAATGTAATGTAAACAAAACAGTTTAATATTTTGGATAATCGGTTGACCAACTTTTTCGAGACGGTTCTGAAAAAAGTGAGTCTGGAGCCATGAGAGCCAGTTTGAGAAGTTGAGGTGGATGTCTTTACATGTCTCAAGAGGAAGCATCTGCTAGCCATTTTGTTAGTATCATGTGATAGGGGAGACGTATCTAGCTGGCAGAACTGGCCATGACTAAATCAGGGAGACAACTGGATAAAAATTATTATCTTCTAATCAAGTCCCATCATACAGCATCACTGACACAAATTTGTATATGTACGATTATGATGATGCAACTATGCAGAAACCATTAATGGATAATGTGAACAGTTAAAGGCTTGGAATGACATGAAACAACCAATATTGTTCAGATCTACACTTGAACATCTCTGAACATCTCCATTGTTTATTTTGATATGTGGTGCCTGTATTTATAATACAAAGCAACACAATATAAAGCAAGAAGCCTTTTTCATCCACAAAGACCAAACCCAGACCTTCTACTTGTTTTGACTCACTATCATCTGAACTCACAGCACCAAAACAAAAATAAACCAGGCAGAATCCATCAGCCTAAACATTGTTGTTCCTTAGAACACACACTAGCAATATCCGATTAAAACAGTATGACAGACTGTAAGAATAACCTTCCTTCTTGATGCTACTGCACTTTGCCTTTCACATCACCAATGTGAGACAACAGGAAATTAAGCAACTGAGAGCAACACAGACATATAAGCCCCTTCTTCCAGCAGCCCGATGGCCATCTCTTATTCCACTATCCACTAAATTAGGCCCTCAGCCCCCAGCCAATACCGAGAAGATTGATGACCACCAGTGACACTGACTCAAAAACTAATGATACTGTGGATTAAAAGCTACTGATCTCTCAAATCACACACACAAGCTGGTGCTTGTACAGCTCTTGGTAGAACTTCAGGCATTTTTATTCAGCAGACTCTCTTTTCTGGATTACCGCTTATGACCAAACATATCTGATTTAGTCCTCATATTACGTGAATCCACAGGTTTGCTACAGAGCTTTAATATTAGTCTGAATATAAGACTTTGAAAAGCTCTATATAAAGTATGTCTAATGGTCTATGGCAGAAGAGCACTACCCTTGTAGCAGGTGAAGAAATCCACTGAAATGGATCCAGTTAATGAAAACAAAATCCCTGTATTTATACAAGGACATTCCCAACTGAAACAAATCTGTGGGCCACTCTAGTAAATAAAAGAAAGAGGTAAAAGGATGCAATAAAATATTTAATTTAAACCTTGATCCTGTAAATTCGTTTGATTCCAGACAGAATTATGTCAATGGATAATACAACATAGAATAAAACTGGTTTTAACGACCTTAGTCTTCTTTTAGATTTATGTGCTGATCTTTCATGTTTACAAGGAGCCAGTACACCAAAAAAATGAGAAACATGAACACAATGCATGTCGGGTGTGCTAACATGAAACTGGATAATACATTTCAAACAAGCACATTTTGTACTAGATGCACAAAATTTAATAATACTCCCACCGGCAATACAACATGCAATCCTCTCTGTCTGACAGTTTTTAGCCCAAATCAAAGCCTATTATTCAGCTACAGGGTCAATATCCCTAAGAGAAAGTAGGGTCAAACACAATTTGCTGAAAGGTACAACAGACGTACTGTAGCAGGGTCGAACATTTTCCTTTTCTGGGTCTGGTTCTGCAACTTCTGGTCTAAGATACACCACTCAGCTACATCAAAACATTGCTGAATCATTTACTATTACCATCAAGGATGTGCTAAATGTCAGAAAACAGAATTTTCTGAATGAATCCACAGTAAACATTTATTCTCCTTGTCTGACAGCATCTACTTTGGCAATTAGGTGCATGTTTTATATAGTCATTATTAAATTATAAATGAACTGTGCATTTTGCACCCCTTATATCAATACTGGACCCTTCCGTCTTGGCCAACACAGATGGAAATAGGATATTTCTTCTTTAACAACTACAAAGCTTTAAAATGAGCTATTTTTAAAATTGTACTTCAGAAGAGTAACTAAAAGTAGGCTAAAATTTACTAACCCACAATAACAAATACACAGCTAACATCACAACACACAATGGGCCTCATTCAATTCACCAATATCTTCTTAAATTTGTTCTTAAGAAAAGTCCTAAGAAAAAGTACACATCAGATGCACAACATGTCCTTAAACCACAGAACTGTTCTCACATTTCTGCTCTTGAGTGTGTGTACATTCTGTTCTTACCTAAGAACAAATCTCAAATAAGAAAACATTGGTGAATGTCAGAATCTTTGTACAACTGTGTAAATGGGGTTTTAAGAAGAAATATCTTCTTAAGAATAGTTGGTGAATGAGGCCCAATGTGTGCTGTTTCAGGTTATATTTGTTACAGGACTGGATGGGATTTCTTCATCTTCTGATGTCAACCTAATATCAACACACGGTACTGGATCAGTACTACCTCTACTTTCTACATTTATAAATATGACAGTCAAAAGCAGGAAACTTTACCGTGCAGTTTGGAAGCTCTGAACAATGTCATCTAAAATCCGGTTGTTCCTCAGATCTTGTTCTGTCATTGGCTGAAATGAGAACAGACACCTTAATAAAAAACTGTAACATTTATTCAGCACTATTATCACTATATGAGACACAAATTTAGTTCCAGGAATTTAGGAAACAGCAAGACAGTGGACTATACTCAGTATTAATATATAGAACAATATTATAACTTGTCTGAATAACTCAAGTGAATCACATTTGCTTTAGTTAATGTAAAAATACACAAAACCCTGATACTCACAGTGTTGCAAACAGGACACAATAATTTGTAGGAAAGAAACTTTCGAATACACAGGGAACAAACTGTAGAGAAACCCAATAACATTTGTTAATCATGTGTTTGTGTTCATCTCTTCATACTTGACATGCCAGAAAGATTCTCCACGGTGACGTCAAAGCATAAATGACAGTACGGACACTGAGTTGCTCTTGAATGAATTCATCTTTTTGTGATTTCTTCATATACACCTCTGATCACAATACATATTTAACAACATGACAAACATACTTACAATTATGAGAACACTGTGTCATCATGGATATGTTCAAGAAGTCAAAGCAAATTGGACATCGGAGCAAAGTGTCTATAGTCTGTCAAAACAGTTCAAAAGCAGTTAAGGATCACAGCTGCCGTGCTGTTCCACTAAGAAATCTAGTCGCTGTGGGTTTACGTCTCGTGACAGGTAACTTAGCTGACTAGTTTACCAAACGCTTACAACCTGAGTTTAATGTTAACGTTAACTGACTAGCTAGTTAATGTCGTACCTAACCAGGAGAATATCAGCATACAATGACAGGGAAATAAATCTTCTAGTCGTTTATAAATTTGCCAACTAGCGAACACAGTAAAATCCTAAAGATTACAGTTAACTACACCACAGCAGCTAGTTTAGCTTAGCTAACGTTAGCTCATTTAGGATAGGTGATTTAGCAAAGCTTTCATGAGCTGAACTCACTTTCAGACATGACAAGTTCGGTGGAAAATCCGACTCGTTTGAAATCGACATTATTACCCAAATATGTGTTAACAAACTGAATTTAGTGAATGTTTCTAAGGGTAAACCCAGTCGGGTTGTGCTGCTAACTAATGCTGAACCTGGACGTCAACAAAGAAATTCCGCGCGCACACTTTTACATCCTACACTGACGTCACTTCCATTCACTGTTTCAAGCGATTCGCGGGAGTCGCTCTGAACTCGTAGTGATGGAGTTCGATTCGGTTCAGCGAACCGATTCGAGCTGTCGGCTTCAATGAATCAAACGTCAAATTAAATGACTCATTGATTCACAACTGCAGCTCCAATTTCGCCTCGGCTGTGTCGGAAACCGCATACAACCACACTAAATAGCATATGACTAAATAGTACACCACCAATGGTAGTGCATTCAGCAACGTAGTGTGTGTAGTATAGAAGTATTCGGTTTTGGACGCAGCCGTGTTCAATCAGCTTCGGCTCAGCCAGTTAGTTTGATGTCGCTGCTTCTGCTTTAACGCGATGGATTGAGACTGGGAGGACATAAAGCATAAACAGAAAACGACCAAAGCTACAATGTACAGACACAAAAATGTAAGGTACAGTGAGGTATTTTATGTTAGGATTTTGTGAACTTTTGTTTCGAAACATTATTGTTAGAACTCGTGTGTCTACGGCACGGACATAAACACATAGGCGCTAAAAAGATTCAGTGCTAGTTCATTGTAGCTGTTAATAAATAATAGGTTTTGCACATCTTAGTTCTCAGCTCCAAGCTTACTATATAGTTACTTTTCATTTAAGAAGATTAAAGATTTCTAATGGGTTTTAAAAGCAGTGAGACAGTAAAGTGAGTGGTAAAGTACAGTGGAAAAAAGAAAAAAACTAAAACGAGCACATTTTACAGGCCTCCTGCAACTTATAAGCTGCATACTAATTTAAGTTATATACATATGCCGGAGACCTTCTTCAGACCCCTATGGAAAATAAATACATGGACGTGTATTTTTACATATGTCAGATACATTTCAGGTATGTTGTTTCATTCAGAAATGTATTTCAAAAACTAAAATACATTAAGAAAAAATACATTTTTGGCTATTTTCATACATTTTCAAATGTATTTAAAAAATACACTTTACGTATATTTCTTTTACATAGAGGGAAAAAATGTGATTAAAAAAACTGACCTTTTCAGTTGTCTGGCAGAAATGCTCAATGGTAAAACAGAAGAGTAAGTATCTGTCTCACCTTTACCTCAAAACGATGCAAGGCAGTTTGAATGTCCAGAGAAAACATTTTGAGGTCAAGTATGCCTTCAGGTCTGTACTGTAACCTTATTACAGCTTAGTAACAAACACTGTTTGATACCCTGAATGCATTTGTATGATAATATTTCTAATATCTCTTTGAATGGCCTACAAATCTCTACTGGGCTTCAGAGCACTCGTGTTACATCAGTATCTGGACCGTGGCTTCTGTATACAGGACTCTCAGCACTCATAGCATCATATTCCTGCCTGGGTTGGACTGATTCAGACAAGGATTTCTCAGGATTGCCTGGGTGTCTCTCTGCACAAACAGAGCTTACAGGCAAGCTTAGAATAAAATCAAACTTGTATTGAAGCACTATAAAGAAATATGCAAGCAAATATTAGTAGGGTAGACTGAGTAAAGTGGTAACAGCAGGGAGTTGTAACATGTTAAATATCTTCTTTGTCGTATAAGCTTCAAGTGCCAAATTCGTATTGCAACATGAATGATATAATCCTCTTTGAGGGCTGGATGAACTACACAGATGTCTCCGCCAGGAAGATACCAGCCAGTGTTTATTTTGGGGAGGCATTTTTTCACCTTCTTATCTTATCCTCTCTTATCTATTTTTTGGCTTAGATAGATTCCTGTGACTACTTAACAATGGAAGAAAACATATATTGCTGTAGTAAATAAATTAGTAGTAATTAGTAGTAGTAGTCATTAAAATCTACTAAAAAAGATAAGTTTTGTATTTCCTGATACTAACTTTTTTTAGGGGAGGGTGTAACAGTGTAATAACGAACTGTTTGTAAAAAATAATGATTGATATGCCTCTCAGCAAATCACAGTAGTCTCTAAGCAGTACTTCCTACTTATAACACTACAGAACAATGGGCCTTATTCACCAACCATTCTTAAGAAGAAATGCCTTCTTAAAACTCAAATACTCAGTTTTCACAAAGATTCTGACATTCACCAGTGTTTTCTTATTTGAGTTTTGTACTTAAGTAAGAACAGAATCTACATACACTCTTTCTTAGGACCTTTCTCAGGAACAAATTTAGGAAAAACCTTAGGAAGACACTGATGAATGATGCCCAGTGTTAAGATGAAGGTTTTCTTAACTGTAGTGCATTAGTTCATCTGAAGTGGCAGCTTCAGTTATTCAGCTTCAGTTATTCAACCTTCTCCTTATTAGACATAAACACTTTAACATCTACTGGCTAGTTTTTGTTTTGTTTAGTTTTAAAGTAGCCTAACTTAAATTCATATTTTGTCAGTTCCAAAACATGCATGTGTGCAGTGAACATCTTGTAAAGACAGTTTAAGTTTGAATAATAATAATAATAATAATTTACTCCTCTGTGTACATTTTCATTTGTACCACTGAGGTTTTTACTCTTTTAGCACTAGTGTTACAGATGCTACCTGAGCCAGAAGTTTGACAGACATGGCAACAGTAAAGTCGGGGAGGCAGGACATGTTAGAATTTTGCAAATGGTAAATTGTGGTCATAGTAAATTACAAGATTAGGTAAATGTCCAAAATGAATGAAGTGAACTCCCACATTTATTTAGGCAAATCCAAAACACACTTATTGTTTGATCTTTTTTTTTTATTGCTATCATTGTGTTTATTATTGTTGCTATTCATCTTATGAGTTTATATTTGCAATTATTTAAATAACATCCAATAAAACAGAAATTAAGAAGCCTACAGCATATCATGTAGTGCACAGAGCAACAAATCTGGCAAGGAAAACCTTCCTAAGAGCAAGAGGAAGAAGACTCAAAAGGGGAACCCATCCTCCTGTATTCAAGAGCAGATAGTAGAACAATATCAATATGAATAAAGAATTGAATTTTAATATACAGTAGTGAACATAGAAAAGAGCCTGTCATTGGACAGAAAAATTTAGATTAACCAATGACAACCGATGACTACTGCTAGAGGCCTAGTGGTAATAAATGAGAAATAGATAGATGAAAACCAGTGACCAGTGGTAGAAGTAGCCTATATCACAGTGAAAATGAGAGTTAAATACATGAACACTGATGACAGTGGTTAGAAACCTATTATGATTGTTTTGCAGAATAACAGATGAGTGTTATAGCTGTCCCTGATATCGGGTCAATTGTAACAAATGGTCATCTTATCTTCCACATTTACTGTGGAAAATCTGAACTGTACAAATGTTCTTGACTTGTTAGTACACCGATAAAAGAAACACAGTGCAAGAAAAAAACAACAACTGTACCCTAAATGAAGGACACTGAGCAAAGCAAAGGATGCGTCGTTTGAATAGAGATTACAATTGAAACGTTATGATTGTGCCAGGCCATTAAATTGTTCAGAGGGAAGAGAGGTTTGAGAAGGACTCTGAATGGAAGAAATCAACTGAGGCATTCAAGAGAAATGATCCCTCAAACAATAGAGACTGATTTTGCATGTAACACATGGATGAAAAAGGAGGAGGGTGACCTTGAACGGTTATAATAACTGTTCAACAAATCTTACAAAGAAGTTATCAGCATGATCAAGGAGATGTAGCGCTTTCAGAAACACTTTGAAAGGACAAAGTGTATAAGAACATAAAGAAGGCAATTGTAATGATAGCGGGTTTGCTGTTGGATTCTCAACAAGTCATTCAAAATTTTTATAATTTGCAGTATTTTTAGCAATCCTATACACCTCGATTAATGTTTTCTTGGCTGTATGGATGGCATGATGGCAGTAGTGGTACTTTCAGCCTTAGCTCATCTGAAGTGGCAGCTTCAGCCATTCAAACCGTCTCCTTATTAGACATGAAAGCCAAACACTTTAACATCTACAGGCTATACACTTTTGTTTAGTTTCAAATCAGCCTAAGGCGGGACATGTTAGAATTTTGCAAATGGTTAATTATACTTGTAAATTATAAGATTAGATGCTCCAAATTCAAAATGAGTGAAGTTAACTCCCACATTCATTTAGGCAAATCCAAATCATTTAGTAACATCAGGCTGGTGCTCGGCCCCCATAAATGATGCCTTTGGTCTTATTTTGTCTCATAATCTGAGGTATGAATGTGACACAGTTGTTGCTGTGCATCTGGCACTGTGCTGATATCATAGCACTGCACCCGCTAATTATAAATGTGGAAATAAAAGTGTCTCCCTATTCAGGATTCCTTTAAATCCTTCATAATGATCTTCCATTTTATTCAGTAGTCCATCATTGATATGGTTATTTGAGCAGTTTGGAAAAAAGGCTCTGCTGTTCCAGAGCTTCTGAGAACTAAACAGCATCAGTGATTAAAACACAGCTCAGTGAATGAGCCTCAGTTGCATGTTCCCCAATTCCCTCACCGTAAACAAGGCCGAAGGCACGTAGCGCTTTCTTAAACGTCTGTGAAATTGACTTAAAAACCCCCACCTAATGCGCAGTTGCCTTTGAATGAACACTGTTTTGCAGAATGCAGGTATAACTAGTGTAAAATGGGTATTTTTCTATGAATCTATGTGAATTTATGGCCTGAATACCAAATAAAGAAATCAGTTTTGTTCATTTTTTTCCCTGAGAAACGGCTGAACAGCTCGGCAGGGCCACGTCATTAGAATGAATGGAGCAGACTGCAGATCACTCTGCATGTATGTAATTAGTCAATGGAACAGACCTCCAGTCGAGTGTTTATTTTTAAAACTCTCTTCCACTAAACAAAGTAAGATGCATTTTAGTATGGACAGGGTGATGTGCTCCTGCTTTATTCAAGCAAATACGGACTGCCACGCACTCTATCTCTGCCCCAAAGCAAGACTGCATTAGATCACTGATGTTTTGTCACTGTATCTCCCTCATGCAGCGACTCCCATGGAGCCCGGGAATAAAGAAATGTCCATAAAGCTGATGAAGAATGTAA